AGGTGTCCCTCACTCACTCCACACACACTAGGAAGTCACTCACTCACTCCACACACACTAACATGTCACTCACTCCATCCACACTAAGGTGTCATCCACTCACTCCACCCACACTAAGATGTCACTCACTCACTCCACCCATACTAAGATCTTACGCACTCACTCCACCAACACTAAGATGTCACGCACTCCACCAACACTAAGATGTCACTCACTCCACGCACGCTAAGTTGTCGTTCACTTACTCCACCCACGCTAAGATGTCACTCACTCCACCAACACTAAGATGTTACTCACTCACTCCACACACACTAAGGTGTCCCTCACTCACTCCACACACACTAGGATGTCACTCACTCACTCCACCAAGACTAAGATGTCACTCACTCCAGCCACACTAAGATGTCACTCACTCCACCCTCACTAAGATGTCACTCACTCACTCCACACACACTAGGAAGTCACTCACTCACTCCACACACACTAACATGTCACTCACTCCATCCACACTAAGGTGCCATCCACTCACTCCACCCACACTAAGATGTCACTCACTCACTCCACCCATACTAAGATCTTACGCACTCACTCCACCAACACTAAGATGTCACGCACTCCACCAACACTAAGATGTCACTCACTCACTCCACACAAACGAAGATGTTACTCACTCCACACACACTAAGATGTTACTCACTCACTCCACACACGCTAGGATGTCACTCACTCACTCCAACAACACTCAGATGTCACTCACTACAGCCACACTAAGATGTCGTTCACTCCACCCTCACTAAGATGTCACTCACTCACTCTACACACACCAGGACGTCACTCACTCACACCACACACACTAACATGTCACTCACTCCATCCACACGAAGATGTCACTCACTCCACCAACACTAAGGTGTCATTCACTCACTCCACCCACACAAAGATGTCACTCACTCACTCCACCCACATTAAGATCTTACGCACTCACTCCACTAACACTAAGATGTCACGCACTCCACCAACACTAAGATGTCACTCACTCCACGCACACTTAGTTGTCACACACTTACTCCACCCACGCTTAGATGTCACTCACTCCACCAACACTAAGATGTTACTCACTCACTCCACACACACTAAGGTGTCCCTCACTCACTCCACACACACTAGGAAGTCACTCACTCACTCCACACACACTAACATGTCACTCACTCCATCCACACTAAGGTGTCATCCACTCACTCCACCCACACTAAGATGTCACTCACTCACTCAACCCATACTAAGATCTTACGCACTCACTCCACCAACACTAAGATGTCACGCAATCCACCAACACTAAGATGTCACTCACTCCACGCACACTTAGTTGTCACTCACTTACTCCACCAACGCTAAGATGTCACTCACTCCACCAACACTAAGATGTTACTCACTCACTCCACATACACTAAGGTGTCCCTCACTCACTCCACACACACTAGGAAGACACTCACTCACTCCACACACACTAACATGTCACTCACTCCATCCACACTAAGGTGTCATCCACTCACTCCACCCACACTAAGATGTCACTCACTCACTCCACCCATACTAAGATCTTAGGCACTCACTCCACCAACACTAAGATGTCACGCACTCCACCAACACTAAGATGTCACTCACTCCACGCACGCTAAGTTGTCGTTCACTTACTCCACCCACGCTAAGATGTCACTCACTCCACCAACACTAAGATGTTACTCACTCACTCCACACACACTAAGGTGTCCCTCACTCACTCCACACACACTAGGATGTCACTCACTCACTCCACCAAGACTAAGATGTCACTCACTTCAGCCACACTAAGATGTCACTCACTCCACCATCACTAAGATGTCACTCACTCACTCCACACACACTAGGAAGTCACTCACTCACTCCACACACACTAACATGTCACTCACTCCATCCACACTAAGGTGTCATCCACTCACTCCACCCACACTAAGATGTCACTCACTCACTCCACCCATACTAAGATCTTACGCACTCACTCCACCAACACTAAGATGTCACGCACTCCACCAACACTAAGATGTCACTCACTCACTCCACACAAACGAAGATGTTACTCACTCCACACACACTAAGATGTTACTCACTCACTCCAACACACTAGGATGTCACTCACTCACTCCAACAACACTCAGATGTCACTCACTACAGCCACACTAAGAAGTCGTTCACTCCACCCTCACTAAGATGTCACTCACTCACTCTACACACACCAGGACGTCACACGCTCACACCACACACACTAACATGTCACTCACTCCATCCACACGAAGATGTCACTCACTCCACCAACACTAAGGTGTCATCCACTCACTCCACCCACACAAAGATGTCACTCACTCACTCCACCCACACTAAGATCTTACGCACTCACTCCACTAACACTAAGATGTCACGCACTCCACCAACACTAAGATGTCACTCACTCCACGCACACTTAGTTGTCACTCACTTACTCCACCCACGCTAAGATGTCACTCACTCCACCAACACTAAGATGTTACTCACTCACTCCACACACACTAAGGTGTCCCTCACTCACTCCACACACACTAGGAAGTCACTCACTCACTCCACACACACTAACATGTCACTCACTCCATCCACACTAAGGTGTCATCCACTCACTCCACCCCCACTAAGATGTCACTCACTCACTCCACCCATACTAAGATCTTACGCACTCACTCCACCAACACTAAGATGCCACGCACTCCACCAACACTAAGATGTTACTCACTCTACGCACGCTAAGTTGTCGTTCACTTACTCCACCCACGCTAAGATGTCACTCACTCCACCAACACTAAGATGTTACTCACTCACTCCACACACACTAAGGTGTCCCTCACTCACTCCACACACACTAGGATGTCACTCACTCCACCAAGACTAAGATGTCACTCACTCCAGCCACACTAAGATGTCACTCACTCCACCCTCACTAAGATGTCACTCACTCACTCCACCCATACTAAGATCTTACGCACTCACTCCGCCAACACTAAGATGTCACGCACTCCACCAACACTAAGATGTCACTCACTCCATTCACACTAAGGTGTCACTCACTCACTCCACCCATACTAAGATCTTACGCACTCACTCCGCCAACACTAAGATGTCACTCACTCACTCCGCCAACACTAAGATGTCACGCACTCCACCAACACTAAGATGTCACTCACTCCACGCACACTAAGTTGTCACTCACTTACTCCACCCACGCTAAGATGTCACTCACTCACTCCACACACACTAACATGTCACTCACTCCATCCACACTAAGGTGTCATCCACTCACTCCACCAACACTAAGATGTCACTCACTCACTCCACCCATACTAAGATCTTACGCACTCACTCCGCCAACACTAAGATGTCACGCACTCCACCAACACTAAGATGTCACTCACTCCACGCACACTAAGTTGTCACTCACTTACTCCACCCACGCTAAGATGTCACTCACTCCACCAACACTGAGTTGTCACTCACTCACTCCACCCACACTAAGATGTCACTCACTCAACCCACACTAGGATGTCACTCACTCACTCCACTAACACTAAGATGTCACTCACTCACTCCGTACACACTAAGGTGTCACTCACTCACTACACACACACTAAGATGTCACTCACTCACTCGACACACACTAAAATGTCACCCACTAACTCCACCAAGACTAAGATGTCACTCACTCACTCCACACACACTAAGATGTCACGCACTCACTCCACCAACACCAACGTGTCACACACTCCACCAACACTAAGATGTCACTCACTCACTCACTCCGTACACACTTAGGTGTCACTCACTCACTACACACACACTAAGATGTCACTCACTCACTCCACACACACTAAGATGTCACGCACTCACTCCACCAAGACTATGATGTCACTCACTCACTCCACAAACACTAAGATGTCACTCACTCACTCACTCAACACCAAGATGTCACTCACTCACTCCACGCCCACTAACATGTCACTCACTCCAGCAACACTAAGATGTCACTCACTCACTCCACACACACTAAGATGCCACGCACTCACTCCACCAAGACTATGATGTCACTCACTCACTCCACAAACACTAAGATGTCACTCACTCACTCACTCAACACCAAGATGTCACTCACTCACTCCACGCCCACTAACATGTCACTCACTCCAGCAACACTAAGATGTCGCTCACTCACTCCACCAACACTAAGACGTCACGCACTCACTCCACCCACACTAAGATGTCACTCACTCCACCAACACTAAGATGTCACTCACTCACTCCACACACACTAAGGTGACACCCACCCACCAAATATGGGAATGCCATACCATAATGAGCCTACATGCTGACTTATGCTGACTTATGGTGAATGTGACCACAAAAATTTTCAAGCAAGTGACATTTGGTGCGGAAGGAGGGGGGGTGGGGGGGGGGGGGGTGGGGGGGGGGGGTGGGGGGGGGGGGGGGGGGGGGTGGGGGGGGGGGGGGGGGGGGGGGGGGGGTGTGTTATCTTCCGGATCCCGGAAAGGGAGCTGGCTGAGCTAGTCAATGCCTTTGCTTTTATTGCTGCCAGAAGGCCAGACTGTGAGAACACGTGTACATGTAATAGTTGTTGAATGCTTAGTTATTTTTAAAACAATATAGAATGTTACTATGGAAGCACATGGGAAAACACATGGTTGTGTGAAATCAAAAGAGAGCTCCGTTGTTGCTGTGAGGCGAACACCAAGGGAGATAACCATGGACAGGCATTAGGACTTCAAGTTTCGATTTATAAACACCAGCGTTCATCAGTTCTACCTGGATAAAAGTGACATGTGGACTAAATGAGCTGCAATTAGGTGAACATAATTATGTAAATGTTCTTCAAACACTTCATTAATATACAATCGTTGATGTAAATGTACGTCAGATTTCTTTACCTGTATGTGTAACACCTCGAGACAACACTACCCGGTCTTGCTTCCTGGTTGACGTCACGTGACATCTACAGTCTCACCGAAATACAAAGGCCTTCAATGTTAGTTCATTTCATTTCAACACTGACGCAGTCTCTCCTGTGTTTGGAGAGAGTTGTGGGATGTGTTTATAGGACACTTCTTTGCCTTAGCTACGTCTACTGTCTGCTCTACTGACCCCTTTAGGGTGTGACACTGTGACTATTCTATTTCAATCTGTCGAGTATTTGTATGGAACACTCACTGTTTACATGTTGTGAGAAATAGCTGGGGCACAAAACCCATACACTTGTGACATGCGGTCATGGATTTCTCGGGGGTACTTTTTCTCTAAAGTCAAAAACTTGATGACTGCTCGGTACTCGTTCTTGTCCATTTCTGGGTCCATTTCGACCCCTATCACGTTCAATTGGTTGTCACTAATGTACAAACGGCCTTAACAGACTAAAAACACTTGCAATGACCTACTCAAACAATGTACTACATTGACTAGTCCACATTGTTATAGCCCATAGTTGAAAGCTAGTCATAGAAAATAGTAAACGTAGTTTATTATAATATCTACACTGTCCCAAGTTGAAACGCGAAAGTTACCCAGAAATCGATTTGTAAAAAACTTGATGAAATCAGGAAATAACCGCTTAAGATCAATGAACAATCAAACACTTCGAAACACATCTGATTAAATTTACACTCATAAAAGGCACAATGAGTTAAATATTTGCCAGCAGCAGTATATACTTCACCACCAATGAAACGCACGTCAGGTTTCTTTGTTTGTGAAATGAACAAAATAATTTGTGAAAAGAACTGTATACCCAATGCCACTGAGATACTACAGACCAGACTAATGTGAAATGCGATGGCGAGGCACTTTGGATGAAATGTGACTTCTATCACCAGAAAGTTCGCAAAGCAGGCAGTGTCCAAGACCGGCCTCAATCTGGACGGCCAAGGGTCACTACTCCACTGCAGGACCGTTACATCCGGGTGACACATTTGCGTGACCGACAGCCAAAAGCAACGTAGACGGCTACAGCCACTCAAGGTCCACGTCAACCCGTGGGGAGGAGGAAGCGTCATGGTGTGGGGAGGCTTCAGTCATCATCACAAGGCCCCTCTACACGTGCTCCGTCGTGGCGCTGCAGTCGTGTACAGGGATGCTGGTTCTTCGCAATCACGTCACACCTCTCTTCCTGGGTCAAACTCAAGGCCAATTAAAGTTGGTTGACTGTGATAGAGAATAGACAGACAGACAGACAGACAGTTTATTCAGTAAGAAGGCCATAGGCCCATAATACAGACAATGGTTGATTGCATGAACTACGCATGCCAAGGAAGTAGTCGATTTAAGTTTCTCTTAACCGTTGGACTTTATATAGATATAAACATGTGTTATATACAACATCAAAGTTTTCTGATGAAATAATTTCAGTAAAAGATTTTACAGTTTGAAACTTGATATACTGTTTAAGATATATATTTCTTAGGGCTGAATAACGCTCACATACAAGTAAAACATTAAATTCATCTTCAATAAAAGATATACCATTTTCTATACAATATTTACATAATCGTTCAGTGTATGGGACATTTGTGTATCTCCCCAAGTCAACTGCAAGTTTAAACTTGCTACATCTGAAACGAGTCAGACATATTCTCAGATGTACTGGTATGGGGAGTGTAAGATATTTTTCTACATTCAACAGGGTTTTAAAATGTTTATAATAAAAGGTATCAGCTATACTATTGATAGAACTACACCATGATTGTTGAAGGTTATCAAATAATCTTTCTTAGAGAATATACTTTGTTGATTGTGAACTACGCAATGTCATTTATTCAGTCCATTGTACGGGGATGGCAGTTTGCAGTAGCCCGCTAGCCGGGACCAGTTTTATTTATATTAAATCGGGCTTGTAGATGTTCTTGTAAATTCTATACCTGATGTACCTGCATCGGCATTGCCTAAAAGTCGGGCCGGGCCGGGCCAAGACGGGCCAAAATGTTACTGGCTAATTACTTCATTATCGGCAATCATACCTACATATAATTGATGCAACATACACACATGACATTAATGAACAATCAACAAACGAAAAAGTGCACCATAATTAAGTAATTCGGAGTACATCGCTTGAAAACCAGAAAGTGGAGCAGTGTGTAAGCGTCGCTGATCTTGGTAATATGTAAAAGAGCAATCGTTAAACGAAATAAGTTTTGAAACGTATCAAATACTTCTAGCTATCGTGATACAACGTTCCATCTGTGCGCATAGTGCTTATATTTATAGGAACGTTCTATATATAAGTAAATACCACTTTATAATGTCACTGATCGTCGTATTTAAAGCAGACACGTTGGTTAAAGTAGACCTCTTCTCCCTATACTCTCTCAAGTGTTCCGGCCGACTTGGCCCGGGCAGTCAAAATCGACTTTAAACTCACATATGTATCATCAAATGGATTCACATCTATAAACAAGTATAATATCTACTGAAATACTACTTTATAGTGTCTCAGATTGCTGTACTTAAACAAAACAAGGTGCTCAAAGTGAGGCATTTCTACTGTGTTTTCTGAAGAAAATCTGTCAGAAGTGTTCTGTCTGACTTGGCCCGGGCTGTCAAAATCAACTAAAACCTCACAGATGTATCGTTAAATGTGTTTACATCTATAGATTAGTGTTATATCTACCTATATACCACTTTAGTATGTCACGGTACATCATATTTAAAGAAAACAAGGGGCTCAAAGTCAAGCCCTTTTCCCTCTACATTCTCAACATAGTCTCTATCAGAAGTGTTTGTCTCGTGGTGGCTCCGACTTGGCCCGGGCGGTCAAAATCACATTTAAACACACAGATGTATCTTCAAATGTGTTTACATCTATAGACTAGTGTTATATCTACCTATATACCACTGTATAATGTCACGGTACATCGTATTTAAAGAAAATAAGGGGCTTAAAGTCAAGCATTTTTACTGTATTTTCTTAAGAAAGTCTATGTCAGAAGCGTTCGGTCCGACTTGGCCCGGGCTGTCAAAATCAACTTAAACTTCACAGATGTATCATCAAACTGATTCACATCTTGAGATTAGTATTATATCTTCCTAATAACTACTTTAGTATGTCACGGTACATTGTATTTAAAGAAAACAAGGTGCTCAAAGTGAAGCGCTTTTCCCTCTACATTCTCAACATAGTCTCTATCAGAAGTGTTTGGCTTGTGTTGGGTCCGGCTTGGCCCGGGCTGTCAAAATCAACTTTAAACACACAGACGTATCTTCAAATGTGTTTACATCTATAGATTCGTGTTATATCTACCTACATACCAATTTATAATGTCACGGTACATCGTATTTAAAGAAAACAAGGGGCTCAAAGTCAAGCATTTTTACTATATTTTCTTAAGAAAATCTTTGTCAGAACTGTTAGGCCCGAAAGTCTATTTAGGATTTAAATTGTGATTTAAGGAAGTAGAGGGTAGAGAGAGAACAAGATAACAAATTTTAACAAAACCTACCTGCCAAACAAGTGCTAGTTCGTTCGTATCCGTAATCCGTCACAAACTGTGATGAACGCATAGTGTGTTCGATGAAGGAAATACAGCCCTTCAGATCTTTGTTTACTGAATACACCTTGACCTATGTCCAGTGTTATAATTTATAAGATTTTGAAGCTACATGGCCGCCCATAGTTTCGTGGAAATGTCCTGGCTACACTTCAAGGTTTCGTGCTCAACAAATATATATGAATGTATATGATGTCTCATCTTGATGTACTTTAATAATGCAGTTCGACAAAGAAGATACACAGATGCCTCGACAGCATTTTTGGCAGTCAACTACAAGTACAGGTAAACATGGCTATTAACGCTCATGTGTGTCAGGTTGCCCTTACCTCGCCGTCACATCTGTACACAAAGCAAGTGCATAGTCTAAACTAGGCTACATTTGCATTTCTTTAGCCGTTTACAGATGCCTCGACAACATTTTTCACACATGAATGACTTCAACCTTGGCTCTCAACCAGTACAGGTAAACATGGCTATTAATGCTCATGTGCGTCAGGTTGCCCAAACCTCGCCGTCGTATCTGTACACAAAGCAAGTGCATAGTCTAAACTAGGCTACATATGCATTTCTTCAGCCGTTTCAATAATGCAGTGCGCTGTCACAGCTTGCTGCGTAGGTCTGTACAGCACGACCGCCTCCGTGGTCTAGTGGTAGAGCGTCCAAAAAGACAAAGGGATTGGGCACAAGTGCAGCACTTATTACCACCTTCTCCCTATATACAGTTATACATAATATTGCATAATGAAAATTAACAATTTACAGTTGAAGCATCACATTGTGGCAACATAGTGCGCAATATAAATTTTTATACAGTGCTCATCTGAAGGATATGTACAATGTGCTTGAAAGTGAAGACAGTGTGCATCTCATACATATGCTAATATTATACATGTTAGTGTTGTATATATATTTAACAATATTAATGGTTAACAGTTTGGAAACAATAATATGCTAGCTACTGAATCTGTTAGTCGTTTCTATAAATTTGTGTACAGACAAGAATATTTTTGTATTCAGGAAAACATTTCAGTTTGGATCACAAAAATAAGAATACTATTTAGAGTTTTTTGTCCTCCAAGATTATCGATAGCTGTCCGTAATGTCTCCCGAATATCATCATATAAGGTACATTGGGAGAAGAAATGGAATGAATTTTCACAAGGAGCTCCGCATTTACAGGAAATAGTATCAGATAATTAACACGAAACAGGTTGGAATTTAGTGTGCTACAATTGTGTCTCAATCTAGTGTGCAATATGTTTGTATATCTCTTACACCAATTATAGTGCATAGGTGGTGATGTAGGCTGCTCAGATGCGACAGCTTTAAAATAAGATATTGACGGGATATCCCTGATTCCTGATGATAGATTATTCCATTGGCCTTATGTATCTATAATATAAGACCTTTTAAACGTAGATGTCCGTGCAAATGGAATTACAAAATCATGGCGGTTTCTGAGATTATAAGTGACCTTCTGTGACACAGCTGCTGGTATAAGATCAGTTATATATGAAGGACATTGCTTATTTATTATTTTATACATAGTAACAAGTTTGTTGACGTTTCTTCTATACGCTTATATATATGTATCCACGTCACTCACACCTAGAACAAGTACACTTATTTGAATATTACTAATATTACATGAATGTTACTGAGCAGTCAGTTAGAGTTTATATCTTTGCGCTTAATCAGCAACATTAAGCCTTTCACGTATATTACAACTTTGTAAGTTAACTTTCCTTTCCAGAAATACCATAGCATGGTGACAGAGATGAACTTCTACCCCAAGAGATGTGTCATTGACTAAAATCTGCTTTGTTAATTTGATTTTTGTGATA